GCTGTTGTTCAAACCAGCCAGTTTGCCATCCCTGCAGCTTTGCCTCTTGATCAGAGGGACACAGGGATTTAAAAAAAAAAAAACTATCAGGTTTCATGGGTTAAAAAGGTTTCTGGGTATTGTGGATCCCGTACTGAACAGGGGGGGGGTTGGGCTAAATGACCTCGAGGGGTCCCTTCTGGGATTTGAAATTATATTTGAAGTGGAGCCGCAGCCCCCTTGTGAGAATCGCTTGGTGGTGATTGTGGGGTGGTTGCGAGAAACCCCAACGATGGCGTGAACAGAAGAGATATATATATGTTACTAGATATATTACTAGATATATTGCTTACTTATTAGAGATATTATATATTATTATATATAATATATATATAATATATATATATTACTTGCTTCTTACCTGGAGGTAGGTCTTGTATTCTATGAGCTTCTCTGTCCCCCGGTGAAGCAGGCCGATATGGGGGTCACACTTCTTCACGTTCTCCCCGTTCAGCACCATCACCAGGCGCAAAACCCCGTGGGCGGCAGGATGTTGGGGCCCAAAGTTGAGAGTGATGTTAGCCATTCTCCCCACTATGGGATCCCTGTCTGGGAGATCACAGATTACTTAAGAGAGGAGAGGAGAGTTCGAATTCCTTCTTAGGCATGAAAGCCAGCTGGGTGACTTTTGGGCCCATCACCAGGAGACGGTGAGTTCTAGTTCTGCTTAGGCATCAAAGCTGGCTAGGGGATTTTGGGCCCATCACCAGGAGACGGTGAGTTCTAGTTCCGCCTTAGGAATGAAAGTCGGCTGGGTGACTTTGGGCCCATCACCAGAAGACGGTGAGTTCGAATTCCTTCTTAGGCATGAAAGCCAGCTGGGTGACTTTTGGGCCCATCACCAGAAGATGGTGAGTTCTAGTTCTGGTTTAGGCATCAAAGCTGGCTGGGTGACTTTTGGGCCCATCACCAGGAGACGGTGAGTTCTAGTTCCGCCTTAGGAATGAAAGTCGGCTGGGTGACTTTGGGCCCATCACCAGAAGATGGTGAGTTCTAGTTCTGGTTTAGGCATCAAAGCCAGCTGGGTAACTTTGGGCCAATCACCAGGAGATGGGGAGTTCTAGTCCTGGCTTTCTAAGTACGAAAGCCGGCTGGATGACATCCTGGTTTGTTGGGGTGCGAATGAAGACCAAAACCCACTAAAGAACTGGCAAGTTCTCACAGTTGTGTGTATCCTAATACAGAAGAGATACTCACTATTCCATGGTGGAGGGGCCCATTTTTCTGTCATTTTGCTGGGATACATGACGGCGCCTTCCATCTCCTTCATAAACTCCACATCGGGTTGCCATTGTTTCCCTCTGAAAGGAGGGAAAAAGGAGAAATGCTTCGCCGTTCCTTGCGCAGCCGTTGCTCATCCTCTTTTCAAAACTAATCCAGGGGACTTTAAGGACAATTTTTTTCCCATTCTTCCTCAGCCAGATCGACTGGATCGGCCCCAATCAATGTGATGCTTTCCCCAGGCTGTGGTGTCAGGGTCACTAGAATCATTCTCCCACCAGCTGGACTTTCTGGCCATTTTTCTAGTTTTTTACTCAGTGTTTGTGTTTTGGGTGTGGGTGGCACATGTAGCTTTCTTTCTGTGCTTTTGACAATGGTCCATTGTTTTCACAATTCTCATAAGCCACCCATGCTGTTTGAACTGGGTACAAGTTACTTGGGTTACATTACACCTGGTTGTAGAGAAAGTCACACAGTGTCCAATCACAGTTGGCCAATAAAGAATATTCTATTCTCTCATTTCTATTTAATTCTATTCTATTTATTTCTATTTCTATTCTATTCTTTCCTATTCTATTCTTTTATTATTTCTATTCTCGTCTATTCTTTCCTATTCTATTCTACTATTCTATTCTATTATCTTGTCTATTCTTTCCTATTCTATTCTATCCTTTCCTATTCTATTCTTTTATTCTTTCTATTCTCTTGTCTATTCTTTCCTATTCTATTCTACTATTCTATTCCTTCTATTCTCTTGTCTATTCTTTCCTATTCTATTCTATTCTTTTATTCTTTCTATTCTCTTGTCTATTCTTTCCTATTCTATTCTACTATTCTATTCTTTCTATTATCTTGTCTATTCTTTCCTATTCTATTCTATTTTCTATTCTATTCTATTCTTTCCTATTCTATTCTATTCTATTCTATATTCTATTCTATTATTCTATTCTTTATTCCATTATCTATTCTATTCTATTCTATTCTTTCCTATTCTATTCTATTCTATTCTATTCTTTCTATTGTTATTTCTCTTCTCTATTCTTTCCTATTCTATTCTATTCTTTCCTATTCTATTCTTCTTTTTTTCCATTATTTCTATTCTATTGTCTCTTCTATTCTTGTCTATTCTATTTGCTATGCTATGCTGTCATAAATTTAAAACGGAGAGGAGGGAGGATTTCAGCTCTCACAATTCCCCAGCCAGGAGGTGTTTATCTCCATTGGTCCATATGGAAATCTAGACTCAGACCCGTGTTTTGCAACCTCTGCCACTTTGGTTCGGGAATTCTGGGAGTCGAACACCCATCTTAAACTGCTCAGTTTGAGCAAACATTGCAACACTTTGCATCCTGGATGCATTAAGATCACCACCTTTTGTGGTTCTCCCTGTACGCTCGGGGGGGGGGG